TCTCTCTTTTACGCCGTTAAGAATTGATTAATCGAAAACGATGAAAAGATCGTCGGTGACCGATCGATCGATTTCTTATTATCGCAGTAACACGATGGGAGTAGCTATGTGAAGTAGCGATGGAGTATCTCGATGGAGACGTCAAGAGTGCGCGACGTTAATAAAAGGAAACCTTGAGACTATCGCTTATGTTGGAAGAAGATTCTACGTAGAAAAGAGGCAAAGACGATCGAGTGGAAAACTCGCGTAATCCCAGCACAAACTGGAGAATCTCTTCGGCATAGTATACGGCACTTGGAAAAACGTATTTCCTTCCTCTACGCGTCTCTTATTTATCGCGTTTTCTCCCTCGTTAAGTTTCGAAGGAAAAATGAAGTTGTGCGTTTCTTGCGAAAATTCGTTGGCGCAGCCGGTTGCCGTTGCGAGCTCCCTTTTGCCGTATAACCATCACCGCAACCTCCCCGTACCTTAAACTTTCTCGTCGAAAGTTTATCCAGAAATTGTTTAGTCTGCTCGATCGCACAGACGACGATCGAGCTTTGTCGTCGTCGTCGTCGTCGTCGGCGTCCTTGTCACGAGGAATGGAAGCTCTTGTACGAACTTTCCTGCGTTACCACGACTACCGGGGGTAAACTCCTTCGATCGTACGATTTATTCGTTTATACAAATTTTGAGAGATTGTACGAGAGTTGCTTTTCTTCAACTTCTTTAGATCTTAAGATCATGCATCCCAAATACTTTCCGAAAAATTTCACAAAGAAGTGTTACCCGACGATTTCAAGATAATAAAATAATACTTTTACATAGTCGCCGGCCAAGTAATACTCTCTCTTCTATTTGTCCGAGATATATGGGGATAAAGTTTATTTGTTTAAGATATGTGTCTGTGTACATTCTTTTTTTTCCTTTTTTCTTTTCTTTTTTTTTTCTCTTTTTCCTTTTTTCATTCCATCGAGAACAAAAGACCGAAAGCACGTTCAATAGTTGAAATTAAATGAGATGTTTGCGAGAATAGCAAGAGATTGGAAGGTATTTTTCAAGGGTTGCCTGCTGCTGGTGCAAGGTGAAGCGAGGGATGCGAATAAGCCCGGTAATAGTGCAATTATTTTCAGAATAGTCGACATCCGTTATCCATAATAGTACCTTCTTGAACGGCATGAGATATCGATTTGATGAGTAAGTTTCCTCGATAAAAGCTTTACTCCTTTTGCTTTTAACTGCGAAGATAGATGCGAGGAGCTGCGCTATGTAACGTTTTCTCTCTCTCTCTCTCTCTCTCTCTCTCTCTCTCTCTCTCTCTCTTTTCCTCTTCGAGTAAATTTACCTACCTTTGCAATTTAGCGTCGCAAGTTTTTTTTATTGACAACCACAAATAATGAGTACGGATAAACGGTCGTATGTATACGAAGAGACGAATGGAATAGTAGAGAGGTCTGTGAGAAGCGATCGGTCCGTAAACCAACATATTGTCGGCTATTCGTGGAAACAATGAAAGAAATAAAAGAATTCTCGTGTTTTTCTAAGATGAGAGACTCACTTGTCCTTCCTCTCTTACTATCTCGTACAAAAAATTTTGCTGTGATTTTTCTTTTGCTCTTTCTAGGAAAAATGAAAGAACGGTTAGGTAATCATCCCCAAAAAAATATATTCTTTCTTTGGATCGTCTTTGAATCATCGTTTGTTCTCTCTCTCTCTTTCTCTCTCTCTCTCTCTCTCTCTCCATTTTTCTTCAATACGATCGGTAAATCGTTCGAATCTACTTATCTTTAAAAAGAAATGAAAAATAGAGATGAAAGAAGAAAAAGATAAATCGATTCTTACTAAATGTAATTATTCAGCGTGTAAATATTATATTTCATGCGTTTTTACATTCATTCTTATTTTACATCAATTCAATCATGCAATCTTTCGAAGCATACTTCGCATCGAAATATTCGCCGTAAGAGCAACAAGAAAATTTAATTTTTAAGCCGATGTGTATGAAAATAGCAGACTTTTATCCCGAATGAAATTGAAAAATAATATTCCTATCCTGTCTAATCTACTTTCTTTCGTGGCTTCTCAAATATCGCGAGATGGAAGTTTTCTACCTTCCTGTCTCATCCGTCTACTTACTTTTGCTTTACAAGATATAATCGATATTTTTTCTCCTTGAAAGAAGGAGACAGAGGGAAAGAGAGAGAGAAAGAGAGAGAGAGGGAGAGAGAAAGAGAGAGAGAGAGAGTGTACGTATATACATTGCAATTAAAGTCCTTCTATCGTCATTATCCATATTTCTGGCAAGAATAAAAGATTGTAATGTATTGACGTACATACATAAACTGTGTTAGAATCAAAGACTCGTAACGATGTTCCGTGATAGAGATGTCTGACTCATGGATAGAGTTTTTCCCCTTAAATGCTAACAATACAAATTCAAAAATAGGTTAGACAAGCCAAAATCGAATTGCATTCGTTTAAAATCTAAATATAGAACTTCCGTTAAAGTTTCATTTTGTCATATATATATATATATATGCATTTAGTATGTATGCCGATGTTACGAGGCTATCAATGATTTGCATGACTCGTCACGTTTACAGTTTCATTATACTCGCTGCGAATAAATCCGAGTTATAACGCTTTTAAACGTTTTACGACCTCACCTGTCCACAAATTTTCATTGTTCCACAGTGTATTCGTTTACATTCGTATTACCTTCCTTGACTCACAGTATCATTAACGATTTTAGGTTGTATTCCAACATGAATTTTTTTAATTTTTCGATTCAATAAATCCCAAGCTATGTACGTACGTTTATTAATAGGTAATGTTAATATCGAATATCATTCATTTTGACGTGCAAATATCTCTATATCATTTTAGCATCAGTCGCCGTTCAACAAGTCGTATATATATTTTAACAATATGCATATATGCATATATATACATACATGCGTATGCTTATTCTAAACGAGCAAATAATTAAAAAGTGCTTGACGACGTTTAAAAGCGCACGACGCGTTTCCGATGCGATCGATGATGTAGGATTAAAAAAAAGAAAAAAAAAGAAAAAAAAAGATAAAACAAAAGAAATAGAAAGAAAATAGAGAGCTCCCAATTAGAAAGAGGACGCGAGTCATTTTATTGATGAAAAAATCTCATGGACTTAATACCGCCGTCTTAATACTCTTAAGAAAAAGGTACTGCTTTTAGGAGATAGACTGGATTTCGTTCGAAATAGAAAAGCTTTTTATTCGAGCGTCGAGCGTCTCGCCATTTCGTAAATAGAACGCGAGGATCCTAGTCGAGCTCGTTTCTTTTTTGTTTTTTTTTTTTTTTTTTGTTTTGGAAGCTTCCGAGTAATTGACTTTTTATTTCTATTTTCTTTTTTTTCTCTCTTCCAAATAACTTATCAATAAGCAATCCGTCGTATTAAAATATTGTCTCGTTCATTGTATTCGCGTAAAGAGATTGAAATAACTTAAGCGAGTCAGAGTATAAATAATGTACGTGCATCGATCTCGAAGCGTTCAACAGCGTAACACGATTGCCACGTTAAATGTGCGTCGACGAACCTTTAATCGTTACAAAACGTTTGGCTCGTGCGTCACTCGAGCTTGCGCATCTTGCTAGCGAGCTTTGTGGGTTACAGTTCGTGGTGATATACGAGCTGCAATTTATGCAATGACGTCAGCGTCAATCCCAACCTGTAGCTTTCGATCGGGATTACGTTGCCGATGTTCGATACCAGACAAATTGTGTTTGCGCGCGTCGTTAGATTCGATTTCATTGAATATTTAATTATCGTTAAATGACGGGCATCGTCGTAAGCGAAAATTTTGAATAAAAAGAAAAAGAAAACGTATCGCCGATTAATCGAATCTACGAGAGACAAAGTGACGGGAGCGTTGCCTTTGAGAAGCTCGCAAAAAATTTCGTAGTGAAGTGTAAGACTCTGAGCGAACGTGTTTGTCGGTTTAGGTCCTTTCCCACGTTATGAAATTCAAAGCGTTCCTAAGCACCTTTCGCATACTTTCAGAAGAACCTCCTCTCTTCCGTTTTTCTCTCTCGACAATTCGCTCGATCTCCGCCTTGGCATGTATATAGGTATATATGTATATACATATATATATATACACATATATATATACATATAATATATACATATATACATATAATATATATGTATATATATACATATATATTATTAAGGACGATGCATAAGACGTAGGTTACATTCGGATATGCTTGTATCCCATGTGAATTCTGGCTAAGTTAAAGTGACTTATCTACCGAGAGAGAAACGAATCGCGACACGTTCATCGTCGCGTTTAAACTCTCTCTTCTAACAAATCCAATTTCAAAGGTGACCGTTTCCTTTCTTTCCGTACCCGTTCGAGAGAAAACGTTTGCCTCGATTCGCAAATCCTACTTGCCTATTTACCTATCACCTACTTAAGTCTTATCTGTTACCTATAGGTACTTGTCATGGTCAATTTTATCGACGTGAGAACGCGAGAGAGATAGATGAAATTTCAAACGCATCCCGAAGATTTTCCTTTTTTTTTTCGACGAAGCTTACACAACTTGGCAAAGTTCCATCGATTCAAAGATATTTCTATTTACGATAAAAAAAAAAAAAAAGAAAAAAAGAAGGAATGAAAAAGAGAAAAAGAGATTTACACTCAATAGATCACGCCAGGATATATCGAGTTTCGAGAGTTGGTTCAAATGGAGTTCCGGTGTAAACATTTTGCATACATAAGAACGTAGTCACGGAATGCACCGTTCAAAAGATAGAACTTTAACGCGTCAAAGATATTCGTCGTAGACTATTTCCGTATTTCTTTTTCAGCCGAGAGTGGTAAAATTACATAGGTACGTATGTGTATATATATATATATATATATATATATATATATATATATATATATATTGTGAGGACGATAGAAATTTGCGAGTAAACGTAAGCATCCGAGCATAAAATGGCGAGGAGCTTGACGAGTGTGACTTTTCAGGCGGTATCGCATCGACGGCCGGCGGAACGATCGACCGTCTAAGTTGCGGTTCCGTGTCCGCGTTAGGATACGACATCGTCGATAAACACAGGGATGGTGGTATCGTTGAGACGCCCGGAGGAAGAAGAAGAGGAAGATCGGTGCTCGCGAGAGAGAGGGAGGATGACACGAAGAGCGCGAAGAGCGCGGAGAGCGTCTCCAGGGGCGTTCTACACTCGAGACAAAGCCTCCTGGATCTTGTTAGCAGCAAATTCATGAGCCGACACACACCGACTCATCACTACTATCAACAACAGGTTCAGCAGGTTCGTTTGTTTCTCGGTGTTAAATATTTGGCAATTCGCGAATACTTTGCGAGCTCTTACGCGCGAGAAAACCGAGCTCTACGTGGATTTTCTTTAGCTTACATTTTTTGCGGAATTCTACTTTTTTTTTTTTTACCCTTTTTTGTTTCTTTTTGCGACGCATAGAAAATCAAATGAGATATTGGATCGGCGGCGCGAGCCGATGATAAATCTGACGAGTTTTCGGAAGATAATCGAGCGAAACGCGTGTATTCGGCTTGTTCTCGCGAGTAGCATCTTAGTCCTTCGTGCAGGTATACTCTGTGTCGCAGCGATACTTTGGCTCGTCCCGCGACTCGCTTCAGGGAGCCTACGTGAATCGCGGAGCGAGCGAATTGGATCTCAGTCGTAAACCGAGGAGGAGGGACCAGCAGAGGGGTAGGATTAAGTTGCCATACGCGGTCGGTGCGACCCCGTCGCGCGATCAATCGCATCTTCATACGCCGGCCTCCATCAACCACCTAAGTAACTTCAGCTGCAACGGCACCGAAACGTGAGTCTTTATTTGTCATTAGTTCTCATCATTAGCTTTCGTTCTAATCGATTACGTAGAACGCTAATCATTATCCTTATTCGTTGTCGGCTTTTTCAGGAGGTATACGGCCCAGCAGCAACAACAGCAACGCGGTAGCAGAGGTTTTCCCGGTCAAGCTGGAACGAAAGGTTTCCGTACCGGAGCGCCAAATTGGTCCTTCATATTTGATCCCGCGGGACGACTTTGTTATTATTGGTCGATGGTGGTCTCTCTCGCCTTCCTTTACAACTTTTGGGTCATCATCTTTAGGTTTGCCTTCCAGGAAATCAACGGTCAGTGAAACCTACTCTATCTTTAGACTATCTATAATTTGATCAGAGAAAAGCGATCGTTATTCGACTTATCGCGCTCAACTTATCGGTTCGTACTCGCCAGAAGGAATTTGAATCTTTCGCTTCTTTTCTTCGCGTAGGCGAAACGTATTGGATTTGGTTCTGCCTGGACTATTTCTCGGATTTTTTATACGTCCTGGATATAATCTTTCATATTCGAACGGGATATTTGGAGGACGGCGTTTTACAAACCGACGCCACGAAACTTCGGAATCATTACACGAACAGCACTACGTTTTACATAGACATTCTGTGCCTGCTGCCCCTCGACTTTTTATATTTATCTATAGGATTCAACAGTATGCTGCGAAGTTTTAGACTCGTTAAAATTTACCGGTGAGTCTATCTGTGTCTTATTCGTCCCGTTATCGTTCCAATTTTCTTTTTCTTCTTTCTCCTTTTTTTTTTTTTTTTTTTTTTTTTTTTTTTTTTTTCTTACAAAGTCTTCCAACGATAAAATTCCACGCTCGAATTAGGTGTAACCAAAATCATTCGATTTTGTGATTCGGTTTGTCGTTCGATCGGTTGCTGCACAGGTTCTGGGCGTTCATGGATTGGACCGAGCGACACACGAACTATCCAAATTTATTTCGTTCCACATCCTTGATACATTATTTGCTGGTGATCTTTCACTGGAACGGGTGCCTCTTTCACATTATTCATAAGAACAACGGTTTTGGAAGTAAGGATTGGGTCTTCAGCAACTCCGAAACCGCGGACGTTGTAAAGCAGTATCTACAAAGTTACTATTGGTGCACCTTGGCACTGACCACCATCGGCGATTTACCCAGGTAACGAACGATAAACATTCTTCGAGCGATCGAGCGAGCGAGCGAGAGAGAGAGAGAAAGAAAAGATCAATCCAATGCTCTTTTTTCCTTCTTTTTCGTGCGTCGACCTGCCGTCGACCGACCGTCGTAACAAGAGAGACCAGTGTATGTGCGTGACTTTTTCTAGGCCAAGAAGCAAGGGCGAGTATCTCTTCGTAATAGGTCAGCTCCTTTTTGGTCTGCTCCTATTCGCCACGGTACTGGGACACGTGGCGAACATCGTAACTTCGGTCAGCGCGGCACGAAAAGAATTTCAAGGTGAGTCAATGAATATCAAAGTTTATAAGCCATCTCTAGTAAACTTCAACATTTTATCCCCAAGCATGTTTCATTTTCGATACTCTTCTCTTTTACCCTTTTATCTATCCTCTCTCCTCCTTCCTTTCTTCTTTTTTCTCTTTCTTTTTCTTTTCTTTTCTTTTTTTTTATGTTTTATTTATCTTTTTTTTTTTGTTTCCCTTGTAAAAAACAGGACTCCCTTTGAACGAATAAAAAAAGGTTCGCGCTAGTTACATTATTTTTTGTACGTATACGTAGAGAAAGAGAAACATTGGTTAGATTTTGAGAGATCGTACAGCAAGAAATTTCATTCATTTACTTCCGAAAAGAGTATCCTTCTTTCGTGAAACACGTACGATTATAGTGTTCTTGATTAATCCAAGCTCGTTTCAGGTAATTTTTCGCTTTCTTACTCTCTCTCTCTCTCTCTCTTTCCTTCTACAATTGAATGCGGATTCGTTTCTCTTTTGTTCGAAAGGCATTCTTTCGACGATTACTGCGGTACGAACGGCAACGTCAGCTTAAATACCGTAACGTGACCAAATGGAGAGTACTCTTCCAAAGGCTTTCGCAAGTTGGCTATCGCGTGGAAAAAAAGATGATAAATAATTTCATTTTCAATTAAGTCTGAACAACGAATAGACGCTTAGTTTTAGCACTAAACGGTAGCTTGTTTTAATTTCTTCGCCGCAACTCTACCGCATTCGCGTTCTCTGCAATGTTCCTCCTGCCTGTTCCTCGTTTCGTATTTTTTCTCTTTTTTTCCTTTTTCTCTGTTTTTTTCTCTTTTTTTTTTCCCCTGTACTAACATACGAACGAAAAAAATGTTTGAGACCAAAGATGTAAAAGCAAATTTTACAGAATTTTATTTGGAAAATGTACCAATCCAGAGTCATTAACATACTTGCGAGAAAGATTCCAATTAATTTATTTATTCATTTATGTTTTGCATTATAAAAGTTAAAATAAACAACGGTACTCTTGCGAAAGAGGAAATTAAACAAGAAAAACACGATATACCTACGTACACCTACCTATAAAGAATAAAACGAGTTTTATATCGATTTACGCATATTTATAGACCAACGTATGGATTATCTATTTCTGTAACTACCTCTACTTAATCTATAAATTAGAAAAGAAGCGCAAGATTTTTATTTATAACCAATAATTCCTTTATAGTTTAATAATGTATCGCAGATAAGATACGTAATATATCATTGTAATTGGGTTAACGAGATTTTCGCGTTAACGTAACGGAATGAAGTATCGTCGATAAAGGGAAGAAAAGTAAGGCTTGATTATCGGCAAAGTACGAATAAGAACAACACGAGTCATTCATTTTCTTAGGTAAATGGAACCGACAGAAAAATACGATTTTCGGTAATTACGATGGAACGGCTCGTTTTCTAGCTACTTCGGAAAGGTCGTTTATGAGATAAGAGTCATTTATAAGGTAACTTCCGACTTGCTCGATAGCGAAAAACGGGCCGACGATTTTCTTCCATCGATGCCAAATGACTCCTTGAATTTGTTCATTACGGGTCTAGGCAAATGTTATCTTGGAAATTCTTTTCTTTTTCTTTTTTTTTTTTTTTTTTTTTTTTTTTTTCTTTCCACAAACATTCCAAATAATCATTCGTGTGTAGAACGTATATTGGTACGTGGTTCGATTCGTTCGTGATTTCCTCCTATTACGCCGATAAATTAGATGTTACTTTAATGCGTTATCAACGATAGAATCGTATTCTCTTTAGTGCTCACGTTAGAAACAAGGGAGATTGAATCGAATGATGGAAGGAAAGAAGAAAGGAGAATCGATCGAACGAAGTCGAGAAACGGAAAGAACGAGCCTTAGCGTATCGCTTCGATTTCCTCGTTTTAAATCGTCGGACGGTTTGGGAATAGAGGTGGGAAAGGAGTGTATAGCAGCATCGCGTCGTAAAATTAAATCGACGCGGAAACCGCCCCGGTGGTGCGGTAATCGAAACGTAAAACGAAACGGTTCTCGTTGTTTCGCAATTTTTTTTTCCTTGTTCTCTCCTTTTTTTCCTTTTTTTATTTCTTTTTCAACGAAATTAAGCGAGCCTTGACGTAACCGTCGAAACAAAGCATACGATTTTCTGTTTTCCCATCGGTACTCTGGTAGAAAATTCAAACTAATGGAAACAATGAAATGTTATATTTTTCTAAAAAGGCATTCGAACCGGGATACGCGAAATAAAAACAATTCTGACATACATATATTCTATATTTCGACATTCGATAGGATTTAGTCATAAAAAAGGAAAAAGAGAGAGGGTGGGCCGGGGGGGGGGGGGAGAGAGAGAGAGAGAATCAAGATGCGTTCTTGAAATCGTATTATGATTCTAACGAAAAAAATGAGATGATCAAATGTAGTTAAAATTGTAGGAATATCGGTCAAACGTGGAAATAGAAAAGCGAGATTAAAGTGGAATTAATATTGCAGAGATAATGTCTACGAAAAGAAATTCGTAAGGGATATCGTGAAACGCCGGAGGATGTCGGAGTTGTAAGGTTAATCGCGACGCTCTCGTCGTTACTTTTACAATTTTCCCGAGGAAATGAAGCTCCGTTAGGGAAAAAGGTTGATGGGGGTTGCGTTAGAAGGATCGTCGGACATGGCGTCGGATATCTAGCGTTCTCGGTGCATTTAACTTCGTATCTACGCTGAGCCAGCGAAGCAACGATAAGCCTTTCAGATTATCATCCATCGCATTACGATTACGAGGTACGCCTACTCGAGCATCTAGGCGCCAGCTCGGCGCGTCTCTAGTCAATTCGAAAATTCACCTCTCGTCTATGAAAATCGAGTTTGCCGCGCCTCCACCATCTCGTCCACTTTTATCAACAAACTAATTACGAGAGAAACGAAATAACGATCCGCTCTTTCCCTCTTTTGTTCACGGACAACGCCTCATAATAACTCGTCCGTAAAAGAGCCGTTTGTCTCGACTTTGCTCATTCGTTCGTTCAAGAAATAACGCGTTAGGACAAGATCGCAAAGATATTACTGGAAAATTACTTGTCCGTCGGTCCGTCCATTCCTTTCCCCGCCCGCAAGATTACTTTGAGTAATTGGACGGACGACGCGCCTATTGCGGAACAAAGACGCGAAGAGGTATTAGGACTGGGTTCCGTTGATTTTACGAAGTTATCTCAAACAAAGTAAACGGTGCAAAATCGTAAAGCCGAACGTGTATAGGAAACTTTGATAGTTCGTCGAGACTCTCTCTCTCTCTCTCTCTCTCTCTCTCTCTCTCTCTCTCTTCCGTGTTTCAGTCGGTGAGCTAACCGCAATGTGTCTGCTCCACGCACCTGCCCGTGGGTTGCGTCTGTCCGATATTAATTACGTTAATTATGTTCTCAACCGTATTAGGACACTAATTATGACGCAACAATTCCTACAGCTTTCCAAACAGTTTTCTATCGGTCTTATCTATCGTTTCTTGATTTACCATAGTGAACTTTATTAATAATTTCTAGATTATTTCCCTGGAGGACGAAAATTCGATCGCACTCGAGGAGGAGGATCCTCTTTAGCGAACTTAATATATATAACGTGTTAGAAGTCACCTAAGTATACCAAGCTTCTCCCAACAGGTCAGGATCTTAATTTTACTTGGACGGTAACATACTCTTGCACTCTCTCCTATTCCATTTCTCCGTCCCTCTCCCTCCCTCCCTCCCTCTCTCTTTCTCTCTCTCTCTCTCTTTCTCTCTCTCTCTCTCTCTTTTGCATTTAATAACAGACGAATCGCTGATGCGTTTCGCGATGCACGAAATATTTGCGCGTATCAGGGATACGCTCGTTTCTCGCTGTGCCGATCGATTACAGTTTGAACGAGCGAGAGCTCGTAGCATAGCCGAGCTTTGCCCGGGCTTCCTTCCATCCTCCATTCTCGACATTATTCCTGAATAGTCTTTTAATGTTCGATGCGCATGCATAATTAGAAGACCCATCCATCTTTGTCGGTAAGATTAGAAGCATTTAAGATAATAAGCTCTCCGAAAGCTTCTCACTCTCTCTCTCTCTCTCTCTCTCTCTCTCTCTCTCTCATTCAGACGCGCACACATTTCATATACACATTTTCTTAACTTCTCTTCTCATTGAAGACTTTACGCAACGAATCCATTTATATTTATCTAACCTTTCCTATTCCATTTTCTTACCATTGATAAAAAATCCTATCTGTAATTACTACTACAAATATTATATCTAAGTGTAACCTATCAATAATTCATTTATAAATGACACAGTAACAAAGAGAGGGAGAGAGAGAGAGAGAGAGAAAAAGAAAGGTTGTTGCGTTCATCACAATGGCCCCTCGTGCAACGTGAATCTTACGTCGGCTAGCAAGCTTAGTGCAAGGCTCTGAATAATATATCGAAGCTGGTGCAGCAGCGACGCCGTTCTGCGACACTTTCTATGCTCTATCGCAATACCATTATATCGTATTAACGAAACGAAAGTGATATTTCGAAATCGTTAAAATAATCGTTTATCTCTTATTTCGTTCGGAGAACGAAATTTGTCACGATTTTTCGTCCGTTTGATCATCATATTTTTATGTATTATATTTAAACATGAACAAAAGCAAAGCGTTGCCATTCGTGACGTTTATACGAGCTGAGACTGCCATAAACAAATTAACTTTCGATCTAACGTTATCTAAATTCCTTTTGGCTTTATTATGTCAAAATTTATTATAACGTGCCCCGTCGAAAATGCAACGAATTTTCATCGATAATAGGAAAATCACCCTTCCCGTTGACGTCGCTAAAGAGAATACAAAGTTCGAGTAAGCATGTCGAGATTAATTGAGATTCACATCGATACAAAATTTCAATTTTATCGTCTTCAAACATTTACGGACAAGGCGTTACTGAAACTATTTTCGCTTAGATACTTTATTCAATCTCGATTTATAACGCAGATTTTCTTGTAGTCACGTTTC